AGGTGGTCTGTCAGACGGGAGTCGCGCGGTGCTGGGTGCCTGACCGAGCACCCTGGCCTCGGGGAGGTGCGTGTCTGCGCATCGGAGATGCAGATACTGGGTCAGCGAGTGGCTGCGGGCACAGCGAGAAATCGGCTCTGCCATTTGGGCTACCCCTGAAGAATGAATAAGAGTGCAGGTGGCACGGTGGCTGTGCAAATAGGTACAGCTCTTTATTGGCTGATAGGCTGCCTACCTGCTGTTCCCGAGATTTAGCCGGAGGTGTTTCTGTGCCTGGGTGCTCTGGCTGAGGTTCTGGCCAAGGTGAGCTCAGTGAGGTAACCAAAGGGTTAAAGCTTTTTCACGTCACTGTTCCAGGGCTTAATGTTAGAGCTGCATGTGTGTAAGTACTCGGGGCTGGAGGTAGCCTCCTAAAAACTGTTATTCGTGTAGACACTGCAGGATCTCAGGAAGTTTTGGCCACAATCTTGGCTGCTTCTCTCTCGCAGTACGTGAATGGAAAAATCCCAGGCTGACACAGGATGAGCTGTCATCATGTTGCCCTCTGGGCAAAGCTGCTTATTTTCACTTTGAACTGCAGACTGGCATGGAAAATGGATCAAGGGATATGAGTCTCATGTATAATGCAGTAAAGCACCAAGAAAATTCTGCTTTGGTGTTTAAGCAGTGACTTGGAACTATTTTATAAGAAGATCTTTACAGACAAAACTCTATTTATAAGGGTGACTTTAAAAAGTGAATTTGGTGCTTGCAGGATGCACAAAACTGACAACAGAAGGGTCAAAGTTTTGGGTTTTTATATACGTCGTGAAAAACATCAATAGATGATTCTTCATCCTGCCCAGGACCTGGGCTTAGGAAGGTAGCTGTTTCTCTGTGATAACTGATTCTCTGCTTTTCTGCCTCAAATTGCTGAGGTTGCTTTTGAATGTTATAATGTGTAAAATGGATGTGAAAAGGACTATCCACCATTATAGAATTTACTAGCCACCATTACAAAGTTTATAAGCAGTTTAAAAGTGGAACCTAAATTTGAAATCTCTATAATTAAAGTTCCACAGATCCAGTCCTTGCAATCCTTGCTCCACTGCAGCTCTTGAACTCCACAGTGGCACATAAGGCCATCTGTAAATAGAAGTTAGGAAATAAGGGTAGTACCTTTGTACAGTCTTTTGGTAGCATCAAAATTAAATATCTTTTACTTTGAGCCTCTACCTTTGTCTTGGGTTTGTTGTAGGTTTTTTTTTGTTTGTTTGTTTGGGTTTTTTTTGTTTTAAATTCTTCATAGTGTTGAGCAGTAGAGAGAAGCTCTGACTACTTTTTTTTGGACCTCCTCAGTTTTAGTTGTGGATTAAACTGCACTGTGGTCTCGCTCAGATAAACAGTGATTGTTTTTCTTTTGAATTCTGGTTTATATTAAGATGTAGTGATAGGACAAGGGACACTGGATTTAAACTGGAAGAGGGTAGATTTCAGTTAGATCTAAGGAAGAAATTCTTCCCTCTGAGGGTGGTGAGGTGCTGGAACAGGTTGCCCAGAGAAGTTGTGGATGCCCCATCCCTGGAAGTGTTCAAGGCCAGGTTGGATAAGGCTTTGAGCAACCTGGTCTAGTGGAAGGTGTCGCTGCCCATGGCAGAGAGGTTGGAACTAGATGATCTTTAAGGTCCCTTCCAACCCAAACCATTCTATGATTCTCTTATTGTGTAGGGAGTTGAAACGTTTGGTTTGTACACACAGATGTCATGTGGTTCCTGCAAATTAGAGGGCTTTGTGTTTGAGGAAGTATTGTTAGGGGAATTCTCTTGAAAGATCTAGAGTTATTAATAGTAATGGAGACTATTAAAATTTCGTGATGACTTGATTTTCCTGACTTCCACAGACACCGGTATTTTCAGGTCATATATCCTAATAGCATAGTTAACTGAATCCTTTTCTGAAAGTTCACACTGTAACTAAGGCAGATGTGAGGGAGTTGAAGTTTTGCAGCAGTTGTTGGCTGCTGAAATATGAATTTATGTAATTTCATGCAAGTCACAGTTGTATTAAGTGCTTCTGAGTATATCCTATGTGTAATTCAATTACTTGCAAAATAATACACTGAAATTTGTTTCTTGATTTTAAAAAATACTGCCATCAAACAACACTTAGGGACTCCTAGGGAAAAACAAGCATGGTTGTATACAGTTTTCCAGTATTGCTGTCTATCTTTGCTGTCCCTGGATTTTGGTAATACCTCCATATTTATCTGAACAGGTGGTCAGTCATTCTTCAGCCGAAAGGACTCCATCCGAACCATCTACACATCTCTGCATAATGAGCTGAAGAAGGTGGTGGCGACGGGTCGCAATGCACTAGGAGGAACAGCTCCTCACTTGGAAGAGCTGCTTTCTCACCTGTCTGAACAGCTCTGTTTTTTTGTTCAGGCTCGGATGGAAATTGCTGACTTCTATGAAAAAATGTACACTCTCAGCACCCAAAAGTTCATTAACTCTGAGGAACTGGTAAACATTTTGGAATCCATCTTAAAGAAATACAGCTCAAGGTCAGTGCTTGTTTACTGGCAGTAAGTACTCAGACATATGATCTGTAATAAATGATGTTTAGGTTCAAAGCAAGCCTACAGACTTCGCTGTCCTTCGACTGCTGAGTAGCGCAGCCCCTTGCGTGAATTCATACATGAAGTGAATGTTGGTCAGTGGCATCAGATGTGCGAAGTCTCAAAACTGAAGAAGAAAAATAAAAAAGGGCGAGAGTTTGTGCTCATCATGTTCTACGAGCCGTCTTCCCTATTCCTTAATTAATACTTGACATATTCATATTCAGCAGAGAGAAAGAGTAATTTTCCTTATAAAAGATGTAAGACCTTGTAATTTTTCATTTGGAGTGGAGAGGATACAAGACTTAATTCCATGTGGATTTCAGTAAAACTGAGGTATAAATAAAAAAGCTATTTGTGTGACAGTTTTATTTTTAGACTAGAATACATTGTGCTGAATTCTAAAAGCTACACCATAGCTATCTGGTCTACTTAGAGTTTTATGATGCTCTGTTATCACTTCTCTTGAGAGGTATTGGAGCCAGTAGGAGAAGCACCTCTGAGTCTTTGGTCCCTGACATTATGGTTTCTTGAAGTTAAGATCTAATAGTTCCTGTTAGAAGAATCCCAGGATGTTTCTAAATGACTCTGGGGTGGATATTTCACATCTAACACATATGAGCCTTGAAAGTGATGGCAGTTTAAAAAAGAGAATTTTTGAATGCTTGTCAACAAACTCGAATTCCAGCTCTTTATTTTAAAGCAAAACAAGGTAGCCATTGTAGGAAGTTAACATTCAAATGTAGTTGAATTTATAAAAATCTTTATTAGAGAAGTGCTATCTAAGATGACATTTTGGGAGAATATTCTGAGGTCTTATTTTTTTCAGTTATGATTTTTAAAGTGTACACCTAGGAAAAATCAAAATAATTCAGTGCTGCTTTCTGACATTCCAGTTGAAGCACTGTAGCTGACTTTTTTTTTTTTTAGGAATAACTTAGGCAAATTGCTACATAATTTTGCTATTTGAAAATCCAAACTAGTCTATATGATTTTACTAGTGATTTTTTTTACAATTCTTGGTTTGTGAACCCTTACAATATCAGGGCTGTTAGTCCACTAAAAGATGAAACTTAAATATTTTTTTCTTGGTGAGGTAAACATTAAAGAGTAAAGGGAGGTAAGTTGGGTTGGGTTTTTTTTTTTTGAAAAGTTGATTTAAGTTACACACTAACCTTTGCCATCTGTTCCGAGCATGTGCTGAGTCAACAGTGCTGTTAAAAATCTGAAACCTAAAACTGATACTTTGACAAAGCGACTGGAGACTGTTACATATGAAATGTTTTACTGTGCTGTTTAAATAAATTTCAGCGATACATCTGTACTCCTAAGGCTCATTATAGCTTCTTCAGAAAAATAAGCAGTGTCTCCCTGGGAAAAATGGTGATGATCTTTCTTTGGGTTAATGAGCAACCTCTAAGATGGAGGCAGTCTAAGGTGCTGTTGGAGCTAATTCAGTAGCTCCTATGTGGTCCTCCCCAGTCAAGTATAGAATATTTCTGAAAAAAGTGGGGATAATGAAGTCTTCCCTTAGTCCTTCCTTCAGTTTCTTCATATCTCGGACCAGTTTCTGGGGCTGTTATGTTGATGGGTGCTGGCTGGAAGGCATTTCTATTTTACAGTCTGTTGACCCTCTCAGGTGAAAGGTCAAAGAAACTTGGCCTTACCCAGTCTCTTCTCTCTGTCAGTATCTTCCTTACTTGTAGCTGAGGATGTGTGCCATTATTCCAGCCAACCGTGCTAAGGCCAGACAAGGCATCTGTTCTCTAGATAGGTTCTGGCCTTGGTGTCCAAAAATAGCTGTTCAGATAACGTAGGCAAATAACTGCTTGCTGGTAAAGGAATGACGGAATTAATTTGCTGTCAACAACCAAGTCATATTGTCTGTATCTGAAAAATCATGAACTCTTGAATGCTTTAAGGCTATTTTGTTACTAATTGTTGCTGACTTATACGCAGCCAACACCTAGACATTTTCCCCTCTGTTTTTCTGTAGAAAATAGCTGGAGGAGTAACTTTTCCTGAATTTTTTAGCTGTTGGTTTGGGTGGGATCTTAACTGAAATAGTTAAAACAGCATCAGAAGCAGGATCTATTAAAAGCTTAGTATAAAATTAGTAAGTAACTAGTAAACCTATTTTGATGTAATTATTTTTAAGTGTTAAATGCTTTTCATCTAGTTGTGTTTTGTAAATACATGCATGTGTGATCTGTGGAAGGAAATAAAAAGTTGTAGGAAAATGAGACTTCTTCATAGTCTTCAAAACAACTCTAGCATCCTTCTGCTTTTGAGAATGATTAGGGAAAAAAAACACATTGGAAACTGATTTTTAATTTCTTAACAGTCTAGCTTATTGAAACGTTGTGAAAACCTGTCTGTTCTGCACGATACTGAGCTCAGTCAGATGCTTCTGTGTTACGAAACTTCATTACAGCAGATATACTGAGTATCTAAACTGCTAGTTTACACTGGAACCATATCAAGCTTTTCAGCTGTGACTGAGGTGTGTATTTTTGGATTAAAACAGTTTAGCAAATCCTGCTAAACATGAAAATAGCTACGAACCATGAAACAAAGTAGAAGTGGGAAGCTGTGCATCATAATGTTAGTCCAGGAGACTTGGCAGGGCTACATTAGTATGAATTTTTTATTGCTTTTAAGATTGAGGAATAACCTTCTTGGTCTGACTGCGCGTGTGTTGAAACCACTGTGCTAAGTGTGCACTTAATGGGACTATCTGGAAAAAATTGTGTTGTATAATGCTTCCCCCGCCTGCTCCTAATACATGGCGAAACCCCTGTTTTTCTGCTTAATACCAAACCCCTGGAAATGTATAATGTTGACTGTTAGCAGAATATTATTTTTAATTGACTTGTGTTTGTTCAAAGAAATGTAAATATGCTCTGGACTTCTCAGCCCACCAAAACAGCCAGTAATCACTGTATCTCTGCTGTAGCAGGTAGATAGGATGGTTGCTGACACGTACTGTGTACAGAAGGTGGCTGCTCACCCAACCTAGCTTGTTTGCAGAACATGGTGCCTCAGCTGATTTATTATATTCATAATTTCATTTTCTTGAGGTAAATGGGGCTTGCATCTTCATAGCAAATCCTTTCGAGACATGTGCTGTGGCTGTTAAAAAATGAGATGCTTGAAAATAGTGATAAAATTGTCAGACAATTTTCACCAGCCTAAGAATTAATGTTTTGGTGAAAACAACAAATGGAAAGGCAAAGGGAAAATAATGAGGGGAGAGGGGATGAAAAGCCTAAAATTCTCATTCTCTCTTCTGGTCCACAATAAAATTAAGTGTTTTGGTTTCAAACCAAGTATTTCCAAAATGATTTAAATGTATTGTGTCCTGGAAGCTGAGGGGAGTAATGGAATCACTTTCACTTTGTCTGAAGATAAGCTGTTAAAGGTTGGGGGAATTCAATATATAAATGTCTGTTTTAAAGCAATAACAAGACCCAGAGTATTTTTCTGAAGTGAGGGGATAGATCTACCTTTACTTAAATGGAAACCTCTTCAAGTCTTGTCTTTGAACTATTAGTTGTTCTTTGCTGGAGACCTCTTTAAGAGTCCTAAATGCCTATTAGGGAACGGGTTCACTGAAAAGGCCACTTCTGTCTGTGCTGAAGACTCATTCTTTTCAAAGTTAAGTATTGAGCTTCTGTAACTGGAGCAGTTTTACAGAGTTTGTATTAAGTGTGTATTTATTGATTATGTTATAAATTTACAAGTAATTTGAGTATCAAGGGAAGGGAGGTAGGCTGCATCTGTCTTTTTTTCCTGACATTTAGAAAAAATAAAGTGAGGGGAGAAAGCTATAGAATGGATCTATAAAATTCCATTTCATTGAGATTTATTGTCATGGTAGAATCACTCTTGTGAATAAGATATGCAGTGGCACTTCTACCTGGTAGATGAGATGGGTTTTGTTTTGTTTTTTGTTTGTTTGTTTTTAAACATCTGTTAAATTGAGAGCTGATCTTGACCTGAGTTTTTAGCAAGAGAAATTGATTGTTACAGCATCTTCATTGTGACATGATGAAATCCTGCCAAATATTTTCCCTCTTCATTGCTTTTAGTACACCAAAGTTTGAAGTTTGAGACCTGGTTCATTGGCAAATACAGTTAATCATGGTTCTACTGACTAATTTTCCATCACAATTTACTTGTGAATTTAAAAAAAAAAAAAAAAAGAAAAGCTCAGCTTGGCTTCATGATAGCTTCCCTATACAAACAGCAAATTTATAACACAATTCCTTTAATTTAACTTAATGTCTTATTACTATTCCAGAAGTATCAAGACATATTTTACCACCAGAAAGGACTTTAAATTGGAACAAATCACCTGAATTTAAAGAGAAATGGTGTTATAGTAGTTCATGGACCAAGATATAAAGTGATTGTTATTGAACTGATCAAATGTAACTCCCTTGCTTTGAAAGATAAATGACAGGTGTTTTAGTGAAATGCAAAGTGCTGTATGTTCATTAAAATATTTGCTCTAATTATGTTAAAAGAACAGTTTTTTTAAATTAACAAGATTATTTTTTGATGTACACTTTACTCTGCTTTGATATTTGGTTGTCTGTCTGTGAACTGACAAACACTATCTGGTTATTTCACTGTTGTGTACAGCAGTTCTCATGTCTTGACTAACGTTATGTTTTCTAGATTTCATCATCCAATCCTCAGTCCTCTTGAAAGCAGTTTCCAGCTGGAAGTAGATGTGCTTGCACATCTCTTAAAGGCTCAGGCTCAGATCTCAGAGTGGAAGTTCCTTCCATCCCTGGTCAACTTGCACAGTGCTCACACAAAACTACAGACTTGGGGCCAGATTTTTGAGAAACAACGAGAGACTAAGAAGCATCTTTTTGGAGGGCAATCTCAGAAGGCTGTACAACCTCCACACCTCTTCCTCTGGCTGATGAAGCTCAAAAACATTCTCCTTGCCAAGTTTAGCTTTTATTTTCATGAGGCCCTTAGTCGACAGACGACAGCATCTGAAATGAAAACGTTGACTGCTAAAACAAATCCTGATTACTTTGGGAAAATTTCCAGCTTCATCCGAAAGTATGATGCCGTCAATGTTTCCTTAATTTTTGACAATCGTGGATCAGAGAGTTTTCAGGGACACGGTTATCATCATCCCCATTCCTACAGGGAAGCCCCCAAAGGAGTGGATCAGTACCCTGCAGTGGTGTCTCTGCCCAGCGACAGGCCTGTTATGCACTGGCCCAATGTAATCATGATTATGACTGACAGAACCTCTGACCTCAACAGTTTGGAGAAGGTAGTTCACTTCTATGATGACAAAGTCCAAAGCACGTACTTTCTAACTCGCCCTGAACCTCACTTTACCATTGTAGTTATTTTTGAGTCCAAGAAGTCAGAAAGGGACTATCACTTTATTTCTTTTCTCAATGAGATTTCGCATTCCCTTAAGAACTCCAAAGCTTTTGCAAGCTTGAAGCCTGGATCCAAAGGGTAAAATACAAACTACTTACAAGTTGTCAAGGTGGTATGCCAGCCTTGGGGGAGCCGTAGCTTTCAAGGATTACATGAATTCATGATTCTCAGAGTCTAATTAAAAAGGAACTGTTATTTTTAATGTTACAAGTTCCTTTTTGTTTTTTTACGCTAACAGATGCTTGAAGAAAAGTATTTTTGGGCAGTGCTCAGTGGGACAACTTAATTGTGGGGTGCTAAATGGCCACAGTAGGATTTTTTTTGGTGTGGTTTTCAATATTCCGTATGATTTATTTTTTCAGTCCACAACTTTGTTGCCTGTATCAGAAAGGAATATATGCACTTTATCTTAGTCTGATCATTGACTGTCTTCTATAGATTTTATTGAAAATGTGGTGAGGATAGAAGATACCATCTTTTCAGAAAACTGTGTTGCCTGATGGTAATGATTTCCAGGAACTAAACACTGATACAAGGGAATATTAAAAAAAGCGAACCTGCAAGGACACATTTGAAATAAAAATACAAGAATCTCAAAAGGCACTGTTGTTAATTATAACTTAGTTTGCAAATGGTTTAAAGTAATGATTGAGGTCTCTGGCACTCTCTCTTAAGCACCAGTCTCTATTCTGAACACCCTGTGTCATAAAGCTTTGTCGTTGCTCCAGAACACAGGCTGGGGCAAGAAAAGCTGCAGTGTGGGCTGGAAGGCCAGTATTCACTGGAGTGTTGTGACATTGTGTGTCCAGTACTAGTCTTGGCTCAGATTAACTGAAGGAGACAAGCTGAGATTGAGCAGGTATTTGAGAAGGAACAGCTCCATGGAAAAAGCAGCAAAGCTCTTTTCAAATTGTGCTTTTGTCTGGCTAACTTGGGGGGGGGGGGAAAAAGTCAGTAGGAAATGCCCTTGGTAAATGAGTTATTTTCTAATTTGCTGCTAGGGTTAACATGGATTCATTTTCAGATTTTAAAAAGTGTATAGTTTTTTCTTTCTGTTCAGCTTTAAATAATTTCACAATTAAGCCAAATCACTTTTGGAATTTGGATTTAAATATATAGCCTATGCAGTATGTTTACCTCATTCTAAAATGTCTATTTCACCACTTACTTCTAGGCTGCAGGTTTGGAAAAAGTATGTTTTCTAGTTACCCTGAAAGTGCTTTGTTTTGGAAGTCAATTTCCAAAGCCAATAAAAGGGTCAGTTTGGCTGTACCTGTAGCCTTATATTGCATGGTTCTTCTGACTGTTAGCTATGCAGTTGTGCCAGCACTTTCATGGGAATTCAGGAGGACTGATACGGGTCTGCTGTATGAAGTATGTAAGTGTAGTAAAGCTAGATCCTTAGCTGACGCTATGTAAGGTGTGGCATGATCAGGTTTGTTTTAAAAGGGATTTAAGTCAAAATGTTACTTTCTGTTGCTACTGAAATATAAAAGATACCATTGCAGACATGGCTTTTACTGATTCCCTTCTCACACAAAAGCTTATGACTTGTCTTGCCTTCCGCTGCACGTACCGATTTCTTTATAGTCACATAAGCATGTTCTGTTCTTGGAATGCGAGCTCTGACTTCCCACTCTGTGCCAAATAGAGCCTTCCATGCTTTTCCTGTAATTTTATGTTAGTCTATTGTGAATGTCTGTGCTGCTGCCTTTCACCCAAAGTTAGTCTGACTGCGGTGTCACTCTCAGAAGTTCAGAGTCTGCTCTTTGCCCTTGTTAAATAACAAGAGTTGCAAATATACCAGCCACTGGAGGGCACCTGGTTGTAGCAGCGCTACACTTTGCAGCTCGAATTGCCTTTTAACGGGACAAAGTTGCAAATGACAGGGTTGCGAGAGTTTGGAACTTCCCTCTGTGGGACAGTGACCTCGTAATAACATTGTACTGTTGACTTCCTCAGCCTGAGTAACAGAAAACAGGCTGTCACCAGAACTGATTCCCAGTCTTCAGCAGTGTAATAAAGTGTTGAACAAATTCTGTCTGCCTCCACAGTATTTCCCCATCACACTAGCTATCTGTGGGAAAGGGGAGAGGAGACCGGAGGAAGAGACCGTGTGTGGTGCAGACACCTTCTTGCTCATTTCTGAGTTGTGGGGAACATGTTGGAAGAGGTGAAAGAGAAATCTGCTGCCCTTTGGAGCAGACCAACAGCTTTTACCGGTTGCTGAAATGGCTGGAGGCTGTTTCTAGCGTTTTTTCTGGGGAGAAGGAAAGGAGGTGAGTGTTCAGCTTCTGGTGGTTCACTTCACGCTCCTGCCACTGTTTTTGGCAAGTGGTGTCTCTGGGAATGGGGAGGGGATGCAACGTGTCTGTTGCAGGAGATGGTGAGACTTGCTTTGCCCCTTAGCAGTGCTGGGGTGGTTTGCTGCAGTTTTTTCCATAGGATCTTGGGGAAGTGACCAGAGGAGCCATCCAACTCATGGGTAAGAATTTCTGATTGATGAAGAATCGAAGGGAGCTGTAACCATTACTCTCATGGTGTGAGAAGGGAGGGAGTGGGAGACATGGAGACAAATGGTGGGAGAGAACTGGGTGCTGGAGAGAGAAACTTCTGTGGAGCTCTCTCTGCATTTTGGAATCCTGTCCCTGAGGCTCTCCTCATAAGATCTCAGTCTTAAATTAGTACAAGGTGGGGAGCAGAAAATCCAGGCTGTAGGAAGCGGCTTGGATGAAAACTGCAGGAGTGAATCTGAAGAGAAGTTACAGTAGGATCAGTATCAAATAGCTTTGCAGAGTTGAGGTGTGCTGATCAAAAACTAAGTGTGTGTGGGCTGTGAGTATGTGTGATGAATAAATATTTATAGATTTGTTAGCTCCAGGCAGACACATGGCACAGTTTCATGTTTGATGCTTTGGGGAGTTTATGTTTTAAATGACAAATGAGGTAACAGGGAGACTGAGTTATCTACGATGCCAAATTGGGTAGGCCAGTAATGAAAACCTGCCTAATTAAGAGGGCAGGAATATAACTGTGGAGTAAGTAAAGGTAACCAGAGACTCAGTAACTGGAAAAAAAAAATATATTGTTTACTAACTTCAGTACTGGAAAGATTGATCAGTCTCTTTATATAAGAACTGGAGAACAAACGTGCTTTTGCCGAGCTGGATGCTATCCCGGCTGCCAGCTTTTCCTCTCCACCAACTTAGCTAAGCAAGATGGAGCGTACCAATGTGCTGTAGAAGTCTTGTGTAAATGCTTTAAATGCAAGATGTGGAGATGTTTATGAAAAATAATGAAAGCCAACACGTCCAGACGTATTTAAACATTTTTAAAATAGGTACTGAGATTTGATGTTCTTGGTGCCACTCAGATTGCTTGGAATTGCAATATGGAAGCTTATCTTGTAGCAAATTTCATATACCTCATCACTTACTGGAGTCCATGAGGATTTTGGCAGAACATTTAATTTAGTATCCTTTGCCTGGAATGTGAATTTGACAGCATATGTATTCTCAGATCTCTTAAATATTTTATATTTGTGTCTTGTAAGCTGTTTTCTTTTACATGTGGTGTTTGGGTTTTTTTTTCTTGAATAAAACATCTTTCTTTTTCTCCCCCCTTTGTGTGAAGACAATGCAGGAAATGGGAATCTATTTTGTATTATGCTGCAAAGGACTGCAATGTATGCATAATGCGCGTAATGTTCAAGTTTTAATGATTAAAAAGTAACATAAATTCCTGTTATCTATTTGCATACCAAAACTGTTTATCGAATTCTCTTAAAAAGTCTGTGCTATAAGCGCAAATAATTTTATGACACCTTCTCAGTTAATTATTGCTCTGGTCTGCCCTTCATATTGAAAGCCTGAGAGACTTGTGATCATTCTAGTTCTTCTTTGTTTGATATGTTATCTGAGGCTTCCTTGCATACGTGTCTATGCAGCCTGCTGCCTTTTACTGCACTGGGTCTCAATCTTCTCATAACCAAGCTTTGCTTAAGAAACTCACCCATGTGCCATAGTTCATGCCTCAAGTCCTGTTTTTTTTGTCCCAGTATCTACAACCCCTTCCTCTTGCAGTAAGAAGAGTGTTGCACAGCGTGGCTGGTCCTGGGCTTGTGGTTGGCTCTGTGGTTGCTTCCAGAAGTGCTGATGCTAAGCTAACTAGCTAGCATGGCTGAAACTTTGGTGTTCCTGCCTTGTTTCTCCAGAAGTCCCATTTTCAGACTCCCAGAGATGTGAGCCAGCCCTGCCCAGGTGGGTGCAGCCGAAGCCAAGCACTGCTTACCTGCTCAGGCTCTGCCTCAGCCTTGAGAGCAGTAAGTCAGTGTCCCACCAGTCAGGGACAACTGTTGTGCTGCTCAGCCTTCGACTGCAATTGTGCAAAGGCAGGAGGCATTTAAAGGGAAAAGCAGGAGAGGGTCTGGAAACAAGAATGCTAGTGGCAAAGGACAGCAATAGTGTAATGCTTCGCAGAGCAGGCACACAAAATAAAGAAGTCAAATGCAAGATGGAATTGGGACTTTGATTTCCTTTTCCTGTTAGTGAAGGACTGATTTAAAGATAAAGTCTCTCTTGGAGTGTAAAGGTAACGGATTCTTTTGCCATGAAATTGTTTAAGTACTTGATCACTTTCTTCCAGGAACGGCCTCTTTTCCTCTCTTGTGCACGCATGTTTTCAACACATTACCTGACATTTCTGTAATTGCTGTGAAGCTTTTCTGGGAGAGTTTGCCTCTTTGAGTTCAGTTCTCTCCTGACTTTCAACTGGGTGTTGCAGCTACTAGGTCTCTGGTAGAGTGCCAGAGCTTTCCACCTTGCAGCTGGGACCTGACCGTGCGCTAGCTGTACCTGGCAGCAGTGAGAACAGTGACGTGCAGAAGAGAAGGCAAGTCACCGCAAGACAGGCTGGGGTGGATGAGAGCTCTGGGAAAGACAGGCAGGGAGAAAACAGGCACAAACAGACTGTGATGCAGACAGACCATGAGCAGGTGGTTTTCATTGGCCGCTCTGCATTGCTGGCCTAATTTTGCAGGAATCTATACAAATTTTATATCCTGCAAAAGCTGCGCTAGACCCTCTTGCCTGTAGTTGCAGCTGCTGGGTCTATGTGACTACTGTAAAATAACTACACTGTTTCCAAGACAACAGTTGTCAATCCTTAGCTACTGATAATCTTGGTAGAGCAGCTGGTTTTGGACAGATGATTAAGACAGGCTTCTCTGTGTCCCGCTGTTAACCGGGATATGCTGCTATGGTGTTAGGAGGTAACATCTGAAGCTTCAGAGCAGCGCAATGCTGTGCTTTATTTGTGCATCTCACTGCTGATCAGATAAAATATTTAGTGGTATTAAATTTTGGCTCTGT